CAACACACCACAAACGAAGCATAAATGATAGACATAGTTTTTGTGTAGTTGTGTGTTTGATGGGGGCCAACTTCACGCAGGTTTAGCAGTGTTTTGGTAAAAGGAGCAGTCCGGTCTTTCATGGCCTTTAAATCCACGCGGTGAGATCAGCACCACGGACAGCTCCTGCGCTCAGTCTGTACAATCCGTGTGTCATTCGTTCATTCGTTTTTCAATATAAAACCAAAAATAAGAAAATGAAAAAACAACAGTTTTCTTCATTATTTGTCTCCAAAACCAAAATGAAAAAACAGATAACAATTCGTTTTTTTCAGTTTTCGATTTTGTGTTTAAATGAAAAATGGAAAAAACAGATAACGGCCGTTTCCTGTTTACGTGACTTACATGACTGCGATGCTGGACTGAACCAGGACTGATCCGAGTCCGGGACCAGACTGGGACCAGACCGAGACCAGACCGAGACCAGACCGAGACTGAGATCAGAACTGAGACGGAGACCAGACTGAGACTGAGACCAGACCGGGACCAGAGCGGGACTGAGACCGGGACCAGACCGGGACCAGACCGAGACTGAGATCAGAACTGAGACCGAGACCAGACCAAGATTGAGACCAGACCGGGACCAGAGCGGGACTGAGACCGGGACCAGAGCGGAACCAGACCGAGACTGAGACCGGGACGTAGACCGAGCCCACGGCAGGGCCGGAGCTCGAAGCTGATGCTCGGACCCTGCGGAGGCTCGGAGTCAAAGCTCGTAGTCTGCCCTGGTCCTGCTCTGGTCCTGCTCTGGTCCCAGTATGGTTCTGGGCCTGGTCCTGGTCTGGTCCCGGTCTCAGTCCCAGTCTGGTCCCAGACCTGGATCAGTCCTGGTTCAGTCCGTATGCGGTGCAAAAGTCCGGCATCGCAGTCACAGAAGTCACATAAACGTGAAACGGTCGTTATCTGTTTTTTCCATATTTCATTTAAACACAAAATCAAAAACTGAAAAAAAACGAATCATTATCTGTTTTTTCATTTTGGTTTTGGAGACAAATAATGAAGAAAACAGGTGTTTTTTCGTTTTATTATTTTTGGATATACACGGATTCTGTACACTGTAGTGACCCCGCGCCTCCTGAAGGATGGACAAGGACGAGGCCACGATCTCCATATCGATCCACTTTTATCTGACCGCCGCCTCACGGAATATTGATCAGGCGCACGCACACGCACACGCTCCCGCATGCACCGAGAACTGGGAATGATGGGGAAAAATGAGCGTAATCCATCACTCTATCGATTCTCTGTCAATGAAGTGATTTATTTATTGTTTCTCCTTCAGGTTTTAAAAAGTGAGATTAAGATGGTAGTCTCAGAACAGCTCAAGAGAATCTGTTCAAATGGATTCCTAAGTGATTTAATTATGACCTTGGCTTGCCGTGGTTATTTGGGTGCATTATCAGCGTGTAGACTCTGTACCACAATGATCATTAAAAAAACACACTTTCTTTAGACATTAGAATATGATTTTCAACATTAAATTATAGAACTTTCTTTTCTATTCCCATGTGTTTTTATACTCTGATTTTATCTACAGATACAGCTCAACATTATTCTAAAACTTCATTTTTGTCCTGACAATGGGACTTTTTTAGATATTACATACTTTTTTTTAGATAGTCCTGATGTAGTCCTTGTTTAGTACTGATATAGTCCTGGTTTAGTCCATGTTGTCCTGGTGTAGTCCTGGTTTAGTCCTGGTGTAGTCCTGGTTTAGTACTGGTTTAGTCCTGGTTTAGTCCTAGTGTAGTCCTGGTGTAGTCCTGGTTTAGTTCTGATGTAGTCCTGGTTTAGTCCTTGTTTAGTCCTGGTTTAGTCTTGGTTTAGTCCTGGTTTATTCTTGGTTTAGTCCTGGTTTAGTCCTGGTGTAGTCCTGGTTTAGTCCTGGTTTAGTCCCTATGTAATCCATGTAGTCCTGGTTTAGTCCTGCCTCCTGATGTAATCCTAGTTTAGTTCTGATATAGTCCTGGTTTAATCCTGATTTTATTCTTCCTTTTGTCCTGTTATAGTTCTAGTCTATAGTCCTGGTTTAATCTTAATTCAGTCCTTCTTTAGTCCCTGTTTAGTCCAGTGCTCCAGTGCAGAATGGTTTGTTCCATAAACAATTAGTTAAATTCATCCATCACGCTTGGCTAAAATCACAATAAATATTGAATATATATTAAAAAAACACACAATTTTCCAAGACAAATGTACTAAAGTCTTAAGATAAATAGATTACAATTTATTCATAAGTATAATAGCAGGTGGAACAAAGCTCCTTTTAAAATGTTTCGTTCTCGATCTTGGGACTAAAAGCCTCTGACCAGAGGGAAGCAGCTGAAACTCTGAGTTTAGTGGATATTGCACGTCTTTTAAAATCCTTTGGGACATTCTCTGTAACTGTCTCGAGTACAGAGAGTCCAGGCGGCTCTGAGGATGAACAATCACTTTTTTGCTTTTAAAATTCCTTGACAAGATTTTGGTGTGAGTTATTACTGTAATAATCCCAAGAATTCAAGTAAAAACATAGCTCTCCATGTTGTCTGCGCTGAAATGAATCATGGGATATGTAGTTCCCAATGTTTATAAGATGTTACTATTATAAAACCTGTATCTAAGCAAAGGAACTTGTGATTCGATAAATTGTGACAGTTCACGATATTATTGAGTGTGTATACATGCACATCAGTGAGTGTGTATACATGCACATCAGTGAGTGTGTATACATGCACATCAGTGAGTGTGTATACATGCACATCAGTATCCCGGGTATTAGCCATATCCCGGTTATGTCAGTATTCGGGTTACTGCATATACATGTGCACTGAGAAACCAGGATACTCATATCCGTGTATACATGATCAAATGGAGTATCTCGGTTTCTTGACATAATCTTAAGAATGCGCAATCGCAAAAATGAACTTAAATCAATTTCATATACCAGGAAAAATGCAAACCGTGAACTCCTTTAGCATAAGAAGCTAAGGAGCTACGAGATCTCCCACAATCCACTGTGCATAAATCTTATGCATAAATAAACTCAACTTTACAACATATAAACCAGAACCACTGTAGAGCTACATCAGCCCGTTTGATCATATAATTCAGCTCTGATCACATTTGTTTACGTTTTACAGAAACGAAACTTAAGACCGCATCACTAATTAGCATAAACTGTTAGTGGTGATAAAAACAGCTCACTCCTTGTGCCGCTGATGCGGTTCAGCTTCTTTTGGACTAAATGGCACGACTCAGTGGATTATGTGTGTTGTTTTTGTGACAGAAGAGGCTCTAATGATGGTGAGTCTGTTCTGTGCGTGTGTTGTATAGGAGATAGTTCATGTTTTAACTTTTCATCGATCATACGAGTGCAGATTGTACGTGTGCAGGTTTAGCGCAGCTCTTAATTTTACAGTCATTTTACTCGTGTGGTCACTTTATTTATGTCACTACTGTTGTGGTGAAAAGACTGGAAAGTGTCTTTTGGACGCATGCACACTCAACTTTATGTTGCTGTAACCGTGATACTGCGTTTACATGCCAAAGTATCCCAGTTACTATTGGAATAAACCAGCTACAGTATCCCGATTTCTAATAACCAGGATACTGCCATAGCCTGGATACTGAAACCGGGTTACTGCGTATACATGCACCATCAAGAAACCGGGATACTCAAAAAACCTGATCACAACCGGGTTATTGATGTGCATGTGTACGCACTCATTGTGAGACTTTTGACAATATCACAATATTTCAGTTACTGTTTCATCCTTCATCCTTCAGATTTTGTTGTTGTTTTGTCCTGGTTTATTCTCATACATTATCTCAGTACACACAGTTACAGTACACAGTGGACTCATTTTGACCTCAACAGCTGCGCATATGGTAAAACGGTCACATTTTATAGTGCTTTTTTACCTTCCAGGCACTCAAACTCTTTACAACATTCACACACACTCACACACCAGTGTACACAGACACTGGGGATGAGGTGGGTTAAGTGTCTTACCCAAGGACACAACAACAGCATTCATGTGTGGTGTGGGAGCTGGAATGACAATGTCGACCTGTGGGCCAGAGGATGTGATCTTTTACGGGATTCAGTGGACAAACGCGCTCTGCCAACAACAGCCGCCGTCGCCCACACGAAATATCTGTGCTGGGGCGAGATGCATTTTACTCAAGTACACAGGGAAAAATGGGTACAGGGACTTAAAACCAAGGACCAGGGTCAAGTCAAGGTGCGCTGATGGAGCTCGGCACTCCATCGCTGAGTGTAAACAGGTGCTGCGCTCAAACACAATCTCCCTTAATGACCTGTAATCGGCCCTATACGTCCACTTTGTGTTTGTATGTGGCAGGAGCAGGTGCTTGTAACGGCAGGGGTCTCGGAGTCTTACAGTCCGTTAGTTAAGTCCTGTTTTAGCCTTGATTTAGTCCTGGTTTAGTTCTGGTTTAGTCCTGGTGTAGTCTTGTTTAGACCTGGTTTAGTCCAGGTTTAGTCCTGATTTTATCCTTCCTTTTGTTTTTTTAGTACAGTACAGTGTTTATTAGTACTTTATCAATCAGTAATGTTCAGCTGATGTGGACGCGGTGCTTGAGCTTCGTGCTCCTCAAAGTCCTCGTCGATTCCGGGTCCAACACATGCGCCTGAACGTGCTGTATCTCCATGATGAATAAAAGTTTATTCCTACCACCATCAGGGTCACGCCTGTCTCCCCCTCCCTCCCTGAGATGGTGGAGGAAGGGCGGCTCACTCATCGCCAAGTCACGTTTGGAGGGCGGAGCCTGTGCTTTCACTGGACGGGCGGGGGGAGGAGCAATAGTTGGACTTTCATAGTTCCTGGTCTGTGACTGTCTCCAAGAAATCAGTAAGATTTCAGAACTATTGTGTAATGGATGTTCCAAAACCCAAATTGTGCTTGTTTATGTGCAGAAGATACAATGTGAAAAGAGTTATTTTACATGAGATGGGCTCTTTAAGCTCTAAACATGCCTCCATGGACTCCCTGTAGCTGCGGGATCTCTCTGTGAACTTTGTAGTAGTACTCTTTGTAGTGCATGTAGTACACTACACACTCCCTCTGCAGGTGGGATGGTGTCAGTGCACAGTAGATCTGCTGGGGGGTAAGTGGTCCAGACAGCTCACGGTGAGGGGGATCATCTAAAGCATAATAATACATAGACAGTCTGTCCAAGTCCATCACACTTCAATGACACAGGCCGAAGCTCGGCTCTTTTTAAAGTCCTGGTTTAGTCTGGGTTTAGTCTGGGTTTACCCCTGCCTGGTTTAGTCCTGGTTGAATCAAGGTTTAGTCCTGGTTAAGTTCTGGTTGAATTCCAGTTAAGGCCTGGTTTAGTCCTGCTTCAGTCCTGGTTTAGGCCAGGTATAGTCCAGGTATAGTCCTGGTTTAGTTCTGATTTAGTCCATGTTTAGCCTTACCTCAGTCCTGCTTTAGTCCTGGTATAGTCCTGGTTTAGTCCTGATTTAGTCCTGGTATAGTCCTGGTTTAGTTCTGATTTAGTCCTGGTTTAGTCCTGGTATAGTCCTGGTTTAGTTCTGATTTAGTCCTGGTTTAGTCCTGGTATAGTCCTGGTTTAGTTCTGATTTAGTCCAGGTTTAGCCTTTCCTCAGTCCTGCTTTAGTCCTGTTATAGTCCTGGTTTAATCCTGCTTCAGTCCTGCTTTAGTCCTGCCTATAATGTGGTGCTTTCAGTCATGTGCATAAGATCAGTGTAATGGTGATGGCGAACACACACACGCACACACATACGCACACACACACGCACACACACACACACACGCACACGCACACACACACGCACACGCACACACACACACACACACACACACGCACACGCACACACACACACACACACACACACACACACACAGACACACACACACAGACACACACACACACACCCCTAACCCTAACGTCACATATTTGACAGTTCTTCAGATAAACTAGAAACAACAGAACAAGTTGAACAAACTCTCTGTTTCCCTCCAAATCACTAAATCACTTCAATCAACTTGACCTCGACCTCCGGAGGGAAACGTCTGCGTCGTCCTCAGACTCAGCATCAGTTCGTTAGGGGTGGGCAGAATATCGATATATCGTATGGTTTAATGTGATGATACGGTATCGATATCGTGGGCTGCTGTATTGATATATCACCCAGAGTAGTTTTTGGTTTGTTTTACTAAATTATTATCATACAGCTCTACGTTTTTGTCGTTTCGATTCTCTCAGAGTTTCAGGAGAGTCCGACTTTGTGTGTGATTTAGTTTTTTTCAATAACTAGATTTACAAATGATGAAATGTTGATATATTTTAAAATATTTAGAATAGTTGATTTATTTTGTAGTCACAAATATAAAACATGTTGTAATACCGGCGCGTCTGAATAGAGACGGCGCTTTTTGTCACAAAGATATTTTACAGAACATTATTCAGCATTATTCATTCACTCTGCACCTGCTGATGTAAACTACTGTTGTAGCCACAGCTGCCCTGGGGCAGACTGACAGAAGCGCGGCTGCCATGTCAATCGGCGCCATCGGTCCCTCCGAACACCACCATCACTCACACACACACCGCTTTCATACGAGGCAATGTGTGTGAAGTGTCTTGCCTAAGGACACAATGATTGAATTGATTGTGTTTAAGTGTCTTTGACTCTCAACTGTTCTGGAGAACAGGAGCAGGTTTTGTGTTGATGGAGGAAACCAGAGGAAACTCATCCAGACACGAAGAGAAACACAAACTCCACACAGAAAGACCCGGGTCACCCGGGAATCCAACCCACAACCTTCTTGCTGTGAGGCATGAGTGCTAAACAAAAACAGAGTAAATAGAGACATGTCATAATACCGGACGGATGTCGTAATACCAGCAGGTCTAAACCAGGACTAAACAAGGTCTAACCCAGGTCTAAACCAGGTTTAAATCAGGTTTAAACCAGGTCTGAAAACCCGATCTAAACCTGATCTCACCCTGGTCTAACCCAGGTCTGAGCTGGGGTTTCATCTAGTTTGTCCCGTCTTCCTCCTCCTTCGTCTCCTCTTCCTCTCCTCTCGCGCTCTCGTCCTCGTCTTCTTCTTCATCGTCGTGGAGTTCGTATTTGTCCTTCAGTCATGTGAGAAGTTGGTTTCTCCTCGGCGTGGGCTTTCTGCAGCTCTTCACACATCTACTGGATTTGCTCTTGCAGACGTGTTTTCTCCTGTTTGATCTTTTCATGTTCATCACAGAGAATCTCCATCTCCTCCAACAGTTCTGTGTTCCTCTGTCGTTGTCTCTCTGTCTCTCTGTCTCTCTACACTCCTCCGATAACCTGTTCTCCACACTTTTCAGATCTTCGGACATGCGCTTCTTATAAGATTTAAAAATAAATTCCCAAAATTCCCGAGGGCCTGAGGAACCGACTGCTGTCCTCAACGTTTCGAGCTCCTCCTTCAAATTCACCTTCTCTTGGTTGAGCTCGGTGACAGCTTTGAGGAGCTCTGAATGGGAGTCTTTCAGCTGAGCATGTTGTTGACGTTCCTCCTTCAGATCTCGTAGGTGTGGGCAGACTTCACCTTCTGCTTCATCACACCTCATCTGAACTTTCTCCAGCGACTCCATCTGCAAGCAGATCCTCTTGGTCTGTTCTTCGAAGTGTAAGTGGATGATGTGTGAAAACATTCGGTTCACCTCCTGTAGCTTCTGGTTCTTAACCAAGGACTTTTTGATCCTTTCGCACAGATCTTTGTTCTGATTTTCAAAGTTTTGGATCGTCTCATTTTTTTGCTGGTTCTGATTGTTTAAGTTTTGGATCATCTCGCGCCGTTGCTGGTTCTGATATTCTAAGTTTTGGATCATCTCGTTTTGTAGCTGGTTCATATTTTTTAAGTTTTGGATCTTCTCGCGCCGTCGTCTGTTCTGATTTTCTAAGTTTTGGATCGTCTTGTTTTGTTGCTGGTTCTGATTTTCTAAGTTTTGGATCATCTAATTTTGTTGCTGGTTCTGATTTTCTAAGTTTTGGATCGTCTTGTTTTGTAGCTGGTTCATATTTTTTAAGTTTTGGATCCTCTCGTTTTTTTGCTGGTTCTGATTTTCTAAGTTTTGGATCGTCTCGTTTTGTTGCTGGTTCTGATTTTCTAAGTTTTGGATCATCTCGTTTTGTTGCTGGTTCTGATTTTCTAAGTTTTGGATCGTCTGGTTTTGTTCCTGGTTCTGATTTTCTAAGTTTTGGATCATCTGGTTTTGTTCCTGGTTCTGATTTTCTAAGTTTTGGATCATCTCGTTTTGTTGCTGGTTCTGATTTTCTAAGTTTTGGATCGTCTCGTTTTGTTTCTGGTTCTGATTTTCTAAGTTTTGGATCGTCTCGTTTTGTTGCTGGTTCTGATTTTCTAAGTTTTGGATCGTCTCGTTTTGTTCCTGGTTCTGATTTTCTAAGTTTCGGTTCCTCTCGTTTTGTTCCTGTTTCTGATTTTCTAAGTTTTGGATCGTCTGGTTTTGTTGCTGGTTCTGATTTTCTAAGTTTTGGATCGTCTCGTTTTTTTGCTGGTTCTGATTTTCTAAGTTTTGGATCGTCTCGTTTTGTAGCTGGTTCAGATTTTCTAAGTTTTGGATCGTCTCGTTTTGTTGCACCTTCTGATCGATTAATCTTTTGTTCATCTCGAGCAGTTCATCATTATTACATAATGAGTTTTGGATTGTCTCGTTTTGTTGCACCTTCTGATCGATTAGTCTTTTGTTCATCTCGAGCAGTTCATCATTTTTACATAATGAGTTTTGGATTGTCTCGTTTAGTTGCTTGTTCAAGTTTTGGATCGTCTTGTTTTCTTTCTTGTGCTTATTTTCTAAGTTTTGGATCGTCTCGTTTTGTTGCTTGTTCTTATTTTCTAAGTTTCGGATCGTCTTGTTTTGTTGTTGGTTCTGATTTTCTAAGTTTCGGTTCCTCTCGTTTTGTTCCTGGTTCTGATTTTCTAAGTTTTGGATCGTCTTGTTTTGTTGCTGGTTCTGATTTTCTAAGTTTCGGTTCCTCTCGTTTTGTTCCTGGTTCTGATTTTCTAAGTTTTGGATCGTCTCGTTTTGTTGCTGGTTCTGATTTTCTAAGTTTTGGATCGTCTCGTTTTGTAGCTGGTTCAGATTTTCTAAGTTTTGGATCGTCTCGTTTTGTTGCACCTTCTGATCGATTAATCTTTTGTTCATCTCGAGCAGTTCATCATTATTACATAATGAGTTTTGGATTGTCTCGTTTAGTTGCTTGTTCAAGTTTCGGATCGTCTTTTTTTCTTTCTTGTGCTTATTTTCTAAGTTTTGGATCGTCTCGTTTTGTTGCTTGTTCTTATTTTCTAAGTTTCGGATCGTCTTGTTTTGTTGCTGGTTCTGATTTTCTAAGTTTCGGTTCCTCTCGTTTTGTTCCTGGTTCTGATTTTCTAAGTTTTGGATCGTCTTGTTTTGTTGCTGGTTCTGATTTTCTAAGTTTTGGATCATCTCGTTTTTATGCTGGTTCTGATTTTCTAAGTTTTGGATCGTCTCGTTTTGTAGCTGGTTCAGATTTTCTAAGTTTTGGATCGTCTCGTTTTGTAGCTGGTTCAGATTTTCTAAGTTTTGGATCGTCTCGTTTTTTTGCTGGTTCTGATTTTCTAAGTTTTGGATCGTCTCGTTTTGTAGCTGGTTCAGATTTTCTAAGTTTTGGATCGTCTCGTTTTGTAGCTGGTTCAGATTTTCTAAGTTTTGGATCGTCTCGTTTTGTTGCACCTTCTGATCGATTAGTCTTTTGTTCATCTCGAGCAGTTCATCATTATTACATAATGAGTTTTGGATTGTCTCGTTTAGTTGCTTGTTCAAGTTTCGGATCGTCTTGTTTTCTTTCTTGTGCTTATTTTCTAAGTTTTGGATCATCTCGTTTTGTTGCTTGTTTTTATTTTCTAAGTTTTGGATCATCTCGTTTTGTTGCTTGTTCTTATTTTCTAAGTTTCGGATCCTCTTGTGCAGATCCTGGTTCTCAGTCTCTAAGATTTGGGGGACCATAGGTTGAAATTGTCCAAAATAACGCCAGCTCATTTTTTCTGTTTAAATATGCAGTAGAGAGAGAAAAGCTCTAGTGTAAACGCGCAGTAGTAGCTCTAGTAGCAGTACACGCAGTAGTTGTAGTACACGCAGTAGTCGTAGTACACGCAGTAGTCGTAGTACACGCAGTAGTCGCAGTGGACGCAGTAGTCGTAGTACACGCAGTAGTCGTAGTACACGCAGTAGTCGTAGTACACGCAGTAGTTGTAGTACACGCAGTAGTCGTAGTACACGCAGTAGTTGTAGTACACACAGTAGTCGTAGTACACGCAGTAGTCGTAGTACACGCAGTAGTCGTAGTACACGCAGTAGAAGTGGCAGTATTCTGTGTCTGTAGTGTTTGTTTCGTGTTACACTTATAATCTTCTTCAAAACAGTAAATTGCTTTGTGCTTTGTGCTTGTCCTTTGTTGATGATGTCATAAAGTAGTAGTAGCAGTAGTAAAAGTATTAGTAAAAGTATTCTTTCACTGTGTCACTCAGAGTTTACTTTAAAGCAGCGTCGTGCTTCTCTGATGACGTCATCAAGCAGAGTTCTGTCACCATGGAGACCCAGGGGCATTAGAACATCACGTTGCCACGGCGACAGCTTCTCAGGCTCCAAAACTATTTTAGATTCTAGAATGTGATGATGTCATCGTCCCAGAGGGGAGCTAAATCATTTTCCCGGTGATTACGATGTACTTTTCCATCTGTATTAATATTCGATGGAAAAACATGAACAACTGACTTGTTTTAAGGAGGAGATTGAGAAGGAGAAGGACGAGGTTTTTGGTGGTGGTGTTTTGTGGTGAGTGGAGATGTGCTTCACTTCAGTCACATGGATCATGAACAGTTTTCTCCTACTTCAGCGCAGAATAGTGACGTTTGTGTCTTGTTGATGACGTGTAGGTGGATGAATGTGACCTGACCGTTCACACTGAAGTCACATGTTGGCCATGTGCTATTAAAGGCTTTGAATTATTTTGTACTTTTTGAGTGCCTCAATTTTTTTCTACTTTTTTTTTCCTACTTTGTAAATCACAAAGTATTTTCATTCTTTTTTTCCATATGCTATATGGATTTGCTGATTAGTTAATTAGTTAGAAACAATGTGACAAATATTTTAATCATTTATCTTTTTTTTTTATCTTAATATTTGCAAGTAAATCAAGACATTTACACTTTTATGTACGTCTGTCTGTCTGTATTTGATTATTTATTCATTTATTTATTCATGTACATACTTTTGGTTTTAAAACACTTACTGAATTGTTTTATTTGGATCGGTCCAGTAATTATAGAAACATTGAACATAAACCAGAGCTAAACATCTGGAGTCTCAAAGTTAAAAACCAAATTCTACCACAGAATTTGAACCTGTCCCCAGCTCAGATTTAAACAACAGAGATTCAAGAGTGGATATTACGCACTATTTATTGATTTATTTTAGCCATGTTGTCACTAGGGCCAGATAAATCCATCTATTCATCCATTTTCTTCCTCTTATCCGGGGTTGGGTCTCGGGGGCAGCAGCCTAAGCAGGGACTCCCAGACTTCCTTCACCCCAGACACTTCCTCCAGCTCCTCCAGTGTGTTCTGGGTCTTCCTCGGGGCCTCCTCCCGGTGGGACATGAACACCTCCTGAGGGACACGTCCAGGAGACATCAGAACAGACGTCCTCCCCTCAGACGCTCCTCTCCACGTGGAGGAGCAGCGGCTCTACTCCGAGCTCCTCCCGTGTGACTGAGCTCCTGGGTCAGAGAAATACGACATGTAATATGTGACAACACATCAGTATTTATCTGCAGAGTCATTTACACACACACACACAGACACACACACGCATTTACACACACACACACACACATTTACACACACACACATTTACACACAGACACACACACACATTTACACACACACACACACACACATTTACACACACACACATTTACACACACACACATTTACACACACACACACATTTACACACACACACATTTACACACACACACACAGACACACACACACACACACACACACACACACATTTACACACACACACACACCCACACACACACCCACATCCACACACACACACACACACACACGCACACACACACACACCCACACACACCACACACACCCACACACACACACACGCACACACACGCATGCACACACACGCGCACACACACACAGAGTTATAAATAGTGTGTTTGGCCTGTTTCCTCTGACAGGCTTTTGTGAGGACGCTTTGACCCCACAGCTAAAAACACAACTCCTCTTATAATACACACACGCACAAACACACACACATACACACATAAGCACACACACACACACACACACACACACACTCACTGCACTCAGCTTAAGACTCTTGTTGTTACTGCACTAGTCGCACAAATAAATAAATACATACATGTTAATAAATTGTAGTTTTCAGCACTGGACAGCGACACTAAACATATTTTTCTGTCTGAAGTTGAGCAGAATAATTTATAGAAATCATCTCCATGAAAAATTATTCTTATGGAAACGGCAACCTATATCAAAACTCACCCCCTACCTTGCCTGTTAGCCCTGTTTTTATACAACCAAAAAAAAATAAAAAATTAAATTAATTAATTAATAAATCATGTATGTTTCTTCTTTATTTCCATCCTTATTTACTGTGAAGACATCAAACTTGTGAATGGAATGTATGGAATGTAAGCAAAAAAACAAAACAAAACTCAAACATGTTTTAAAACTATAATTTTTTAAGTTAAAAATAGCCATTACCCTTTGCTTTGATCACTACTTTCCTCTTGACATGTCTTAACTCTGACAAGGTGAAGCTGTGAAGTGAAAACCATTTCAGGAGACACTTGGACTTCATTAAGAAGCTCAGTGAGAGAAGCCCAAGAGTTTGCAGCACTGTCCACAAAGCAAAGGGTGGAGGCTCTGAGCATACTTTTAGCTATGTAGTTTTTTTTCTTTGCTACATAGTAAATGCATCAAGAATTTTGGACTTCCGGTCATCACGCATTGCATACTGGGAAGGATTTTCCGAAAAAGTGAACATCAAATCAAATCAAATGTTTGTTTTTCCCAGTGGGATGCGTCTATTGACAAAGCCAATCTTTTCTAGTCTTTTGAACCATATCATTTTTGTTTCTGGTTCTGATATTGTCATATTTTAGTTTTGGGATTGGGACATCGTAATTGTGTGGTTGTTGGATCCTGACAGCGGAAAACGGCTCAAGAAATTTGTCTGAGAACTTCATAACTGCAAAAGTGAATCAGATGTGTGTGACTCAAACCTCCGTTCAAACTGTTTCTCTTCACAACGGAATTGAAAAATAGTGAAAGGTGAAGCCGATAGGCAGGATTGATCCACAGGAAGAACCAAAAAGGAAACCTTTGACTGTCTAAGAAATCATCCTGAGTTTGCAGTGAACATTTTGTATGTGGAGCAACAACAAAACAAAGTCCCGTTTGTTAAGTTGTTGTAGTTCTGGTTTTACAGCAACATCACGTCTTGGTCTCTTTGCAGTGGAAGGCGTTTCTTGGTGAATAGTTGGTGCCTTTTGCTTTGGCGTTGACTTTTTAAATTTGTAACCAAGGTGGAGCGAGGGACCGGAATTTTGCTTTTCCTTCCCAGTATGCATTGTGCAATGAGTGGAAGTCAGAAATTCTTGATGCATCTGTGTGTACATAAACGTATAAAGAAAAAAACCTAAAGAAAAAAAAAAGAAAAAACACTGAGTTGGTGTGTCCAAACTTTTGACTGGTTGCGTATATAAAAATAACAACCCTTTGCTTTGAACCCTGGTTTGCACGTTTGACATTTCTTAACTCTGAAGTGAAAACCATTTCAGAAGACTTCATCATAATCCTATAAATATTGCTTCATATGTTTGTCAACTTCTGTTTATATAAAATGTAAAATGTAGTAAACAAAATTAGAAAAAAAAAAAAAAGAAGAGATGTGTGTCCAGATGTAGATAAAATCCAGGAATGTACTAGAACAATTCAGACTCAAATACTTCCGAAAACATACAATAAACAACAAAAGGCTCTTCACACCATTCTTTGTGTCCTCTCTCTCGCTCCGTCCTGATCTGTGAAAATAATGCGCATATCGTTAGTATAATTAGCAGTGCGCTCGGGCCTCTCTGATTGGTCAGCTCTGGATCAAACAGAATTACTCATGTGGGCTTCAGATGAAAGGTTTAGAGAGAGACGCTTCCTATTTTTAAACCCCTCACATGTACTCTATATGTGTGTGTGTGTGTGTGTGTGGGGAGGGCCGGGCTCAAGGGCACGCAGGCAGTGGTTAATGTGACTATAGGTGCCAGTCCAAGTGCGAGTGTTTGTCTGAGTGATGTTTCATTTTGAAATCTAGAACATTGAAGAATGTCTAGAGTCTAAAAAGCTCATATTACACTATTTTCT